TTTATAAAATATTTTATAAAAGTGTTAAATTTGCACTAAAACATAATGTATAAGATACTAATAAGTCCATTGCACTGAAAACACTACAATGTACTTTAGTAGTTTTGTAGATAATAATAAGTAAATTTTTTTTGATAATGGAAGTAGTTGAAGAAAATCAATGATTTAACTTTCAAATATATAACATACTCAAGTTAGTTGTTCAATTCTGGTATTAAGATATTTTTTTCATCGTTCTTTTTTTGTTTTTCACTAGAATTGCTGTCATGAATGGTATTGTTTTGACTCTTGGTGAAAAAATATCATTTGATGGCATCCTTTAACAAAAAAATTTAGCAAATATAATAAAATTAAATTTTCACGTTTATTAAAATTTTGTTCACTTTCCCCTGTGTATTTATGTATAAATATTATTTTATTAAAAAAAAGTAGATTATGAAAAATTTATATTTTTTATAGAATATTTTATAAAAGTGTTAAATATTCATTTGTTAAAATAATTTTAAATGTGACTTTGCCAAAGTTTAAGAGTCTCTCATCTAGCATAGTCTCTCATCTAGCCTCTTTTATGAACTTCTAAGAGTTTACGAAAGAATTTAGAGCTTATTTACATGGATTATTCTTTCTAAGATTTTTTTTAAATTATGTGTATAAATGGAAGCAACTTTTTTTTTTTTTTTTTGGAAATAAATGGAAGCAACTTTTGAAAAAAGTTAAAATGATATTTTTTAAGCCAAAATTCCCGACTTCAGAAAAAAAAAAAAAAAAACTAAAAGTTAATACAATCCCTCTGAAATTCAATTTTCCCCTCAATCCAAAATTCAAATATGTACCTTTTCATACTTTTTTTTAATAATTGTATAAGGTAGGATATTCATACTATCATTTTTTTATACTACCAATTCACTATCACTCAAATCACCATTGGATTAGAGGAAAAATTAAATGAAGAGAGAGAAAAGAAAAATAACATTTGAATCCAACGGTGATTAGAATGATAGTGGATTGGTAGTAAAATATCATGATATCCTACCTCATTTTATATATAAAAATACTTTTTTTCTAAAACTTTTTAGTAGTAAGTATAACTGCCCTCTTCTTTTTAACATATAGATTATCTTTTCTCTTAAGTATTTTTTTTAAATAATCCATCAAAACACAAATCAAGTTTGACTTTTAAAGTCTTTATAAAGAAAAAAAAACAAAGTATAATTTTTTTTAATGTCCTTCCAAGCAGGACCTTATTTAACGAATGTGACCCTTAGACGTTGGATTGTCCCATTTGTTTGGATTGGATTACTGAGCTTTTCTGTGGGAACCCGAGATCTAGAGAACACAATAGGAAGTTGATCGTAAGAATGAAGTAGTGTGGATACACTTTCGATTTAGGTTTAGGTTTAGGTCAATAGGTATAATTTTCCATAAAAAAATTGGGCCAATTTTGCTTTTATTTTTATTTATTTTGGCTATTGAAGGTTGAAGTAGGGAATAGAGCAAGTACATGTTGCTAACTCATGTTTTACAGTTTATCTCTGAAGTTATTTCATTCTTACGTAGCGTAAATTCTTTTTCCTCATCAAATGTATAAAATTGTCTTATTTCTTCTAGTCATGCATTTTTATGTTGTGTAAGGGGAAAGAGATGTATACGATCTCTCACTGAAATAATTGTCATAGGGGATATGTATTATCTTCTTTTGAAAAAGGAAAAGATTTTCACTAGTGTTGCACATTTGTTATGGCTGATTGTCGTAACTGTTAGGATTACTTCGACGTTTTTCTTTTCAAAATGATGGTATTGGTAACAAGTGAATAGAATACGATTTTAGGCAAAAAAAAGTAATATATTATTATATTAATAAAAATTACCAAAATATAGTCCTTTAAAACCAAATTATGGATCTATAACAGTGTGTCGCACCCCACGAGAACATCACAAGTCGCGTCCCATGAGAACGTCACAAGTCGTGCCCCAGTGAGGCGCAACAAGTGCAAAGTGGCACCCCCAGGTGGCGCCTCACCTAGGCGCCACTTTGCTCCATTTTAAATACCTCTCCTTCACTTTTTCACATTTTCTCTAACATTTTCTTCTAACTTCTCTCTAGAATTCTCTTTGACTTTTGCGGTAAACTTTTGTGCAGCAAAACTCTTCCGGTCAAGTAAGTGTTAATATTTGATTTCTATATTTTTAATTTATAGCAATAGAAATATTATAATATTATTGACTTATGAAATTGTTAGCGACTTAGGAAATTATTAGTGACTTAGAAATTATTAATGGTGCAAAGTGACGCCTAGATAAGGTGCCACCTGTTGTGCCCGGTGAAGGCGCCACTTTGCAGCTCATTGGGACGCAATTGGTGTTCTTGAGATACAACACATTGCTATAGTTCTGTAATTAATTTCTAAATGATTATATTTTCGAGATTTTTTATTAAAATAATAATATATTATTTTTTACCCCTACAATTTTATTGACTGAAAATCAGAACAGAGGAGATTATCTCTTTGCAACTACAGTACTTCGGGATTAACAAAAGAAAGGAAATCAACCCAAGACTCAATTAAGAAGAACAAAATTACAGAAAAGACAAAGACAATAACCCCTAGGCTAATGGTTAGCCATTTTCTTAGCAATACAAAAGATACCCCCAATTAACCTAGTTACTGAGCATACCTCCTCAGTGTAATTTTTTGCATACCTCCTCTCATGGCCCCGACTACCTTATATTTTCCCAGTTCTTTGCGAATCTTCTTTCCCCACCACCTTGCATATTTTCCTCTCCATTCATGACTTGCCATGTGGAATCTTTTATAACTAGTTGTTCTCTCTAATTCTCTTTTTTAATCAGCTCCTTATTTACTACTTGTACATTCCTCTTTCTATGATAGAACTCCTTAAAGGGCTTTAGTGGCTGAAAGCCATCACAAAATATATGGTAGAATATTATCTTTTACATGAAGGTGACTCGTGATGCAAAGGCATGAAATTTTTCTATTTGAAATGAGCTTAAATCGACCAGAGTTCTATCTTTACTACCCCTGATGTAATTATTATTATTATTATTATTATTATTTTTAGCTTTCAGGGTCTGGGTCAGTTTTGACTAGACCCGATCCAATTGTAGGTAGTAGGGGTAGATCTGGACTGAACTACTTTTCCCTATTTCTCCCTTTCTGCGCAGAAATTCCATCCCATAAACCCTGTAAGCAATGTTCAAATATATTCTACTTTTCTGCGATAAAAAGATGGGTTTTATAAGAGTTATGTTGTAGGAAAAATAATTGTGTAATGTTATAGAGATTCGTTTTGCGTGCCTTAATTTTTTATTTATTTTTTTGTTTTAAAAAGTGTGGGCCCCACAAAATGTTGTGAGAGTAGGAAAATTTGTTGTGTTATGTTAAAGGATAAAAGTAAAACCCTAAAAAGACAGTTAAAAGTGGTCCACTGATTTGATGTGGACTCCTGCATTACCAAAACACTTTAGAAGGTGTTCATGAATATAGACCCCCCTGGTGAAAAATATTCTAAAAAATCAGCGTAAGTATGCACAGAAACTACGATAACGTGTGAGGTGTGGGGAAAAAAAGTAATGGATTTACAATTTAAATATTCCACTAGTTTACAATTTGCTAAAAGCTTCAATAACTGTAGTAAATAAATAGTTACCGGTGTGCAACATTCAGTACTCATTTTGAGACATTTTGCAAACTGTAGATAAAATCAGCAAAAGAAAATTGAAACCAAAATGAAGATGAAGTTGCAGAGAAGCACTGACCGTTTTAGTGCTTTCTTAGTTGTAATTACTTAATGAAGACTGGTACTCATACAGTTCCAAAACCACTGGGTTCATTAGGTCACTCCCCGTCAGTACAATAAAGATGATTGTTGTTCTGGGCACATAACCACACATCTCCACCAGTTCAGTTTATAGAGAAAATATCTCTGTGGGAAACTCTGCTTTTTTTAAACTACCAAATAAAACATGATCAGCAGGAAAGGGGAAAAATAGACATTGATGTATCCATTCACATAGAGAGGTATATCATTGTTCTATATCTCGCAACTTCAAGTCATTCATAGATATGACAGAACAAACTAAATCGAGCATTTTTTCATATTTTGTAGGGGATTGCTCTTAGGATATTGGGGCCTTTACGTGATTATTATTCTTACAGAAAAAAAAGAGATGGCTTTACAATTAAAGGTCATCTACCTTTTAACTTGGTAAGTTATTTTGTATGATTGTTGCATCCTGATCAATATACTCAAATTTCCTTGCTGTCACTTGACTCTAGTAGATCTTCATTCACAAGTATAAAATTCACTAACCCACCATTACAAACAGAACAACTAAGTGGAAGATCTCATTAATCCAAAGGAAATAAAATATCTAAATGAATATGGCAGCAAAGGAGCCTCCCCAAAATATCCATTTTACTAAACAAGTAATCTTTGTTGCATTGCATTAACAAATTGATGCCACAATTTCAGATAGTTGTAGTGTCCATGGGTAGAGCCTCCCACAACAACCACAGAATCCCAAAAGTAAAAACATTGAATGAATTTGCCAAATTCCATATACACAGACCATAATCCCATAATTCTACAGAAATAACAAACCCCAAAAGACACCCTTCCCCAAAAAAGAAGAAATAGTCCTCAGTAATACCAAATGAAAAATGAATCAGAGAATCAGACACTCATTTTACTCATTGCATATTAAGAAGAAAATGATATACAATTAGAAAGCACGAGAAATGTTTAGCCTATTATTTCAGAACATATAAAAAGCAAGTCTAAACCAGCAAATTGTTTCCTCCCAGACCCCATTTGGTTTGGCCCATTTCTATATCAGCAAGAACCTAACAAATCATTATCACAATCAGAATTTAAAATTGGGGGAACAATCACTTGGTGCAGTAGCAACAACATTGCAATCTGCCACATGATATCAACCTCAAACCACAATTTAAAACCCTAACCATACCATTAATTCATTACCCTTCTTCTTCTTCAGCAAAACTCAGAACTTGACAAACAGATCCTTCAGCATTCTCATCAGGGCAAAAGTAAGACCTTTTCCCTATCAACTCTGCAACTCTTTTTGCAGGACCAGAATCTCTAGAACTCTCATTATCATCATTACCACCGCGCTGAAGCGTTCTAATCTTCGGAAGCAACACAACCCCATTAACAGCCTCTGAAGGAATCTCCCACCTCTTCTTCACCTTAACAACCTCATTTCCATTGTTACTCTCAGGCAGTGACCTCTTCCTCGCTTCACTAGATTTGTTATAACGGCTCGCAACAACCCTCCCTTTCTTATTACTACTCACAGACACTGATTTTTCCCCTTCCTTGAACATCAACTTCTTTGGCTCAACCCAATCCTCTTTCTTCTTCACACACTTTCTTGATCCACCAACACTATGAATCACACTTTTCTTTCTTTCACTAACTCCTTTCCCTTCTTCTTTTTCTTCTTTCACATCTTCCAGCTTCCAGAAGCACGATTTCCGGCGACCCGTAAGAGGGGTGAAATCAGCCTTTCCCGGCAGCGGAGCAACACGCGAAACGATCTCCGCCGGCCCCAAACTCACGCCTCGACGAGAATTAACGACCTTCGATTTAGGAGTTTCCTCGACCTTCTTTGCCCAAACGACGGCGTTTTGTTTCGGTTTCGGTTCCATGAACTTTGCAGCGACAACCCTGCCACCACCACCGCGCTTTTCAAACGCGATTCTCTCAACTTTCTCGAGACGAAGCCCTTCGAGCCTCTTCGAGAGACGCTTGATCTCGTTCTCGATGTTTTCGATCTCGTCGTCGATCTCTTTCGCGTCGCGTTTTTGTTCGGAACCGAAACCCTTGTTCTTGTTCTTTGAGAATTTGGAGTGGGAGTTTCGAAGAACGGGTTTCGGGGAGGAATTGAGTGCGGCGGGGCTCAGGTTTTCCTTTGTGCAATCGGAAGAGGAAGACCAAGAACTCTTCAATGTGTAATGTTCGAAGCCATCGAATGCGGCGTTGTTCCACACCTGAACCTGTGTGGAAGAGTTGTTGTTGTTGTTGCTGCTGTTGTGAAGAATGCTCATGGTTAATTTGTTATTGAGGTTCCACACGTGAGCTTTGAAACGAAGCTTTCAAGGTTAAGAAGAATGTTCAAAGGTTTAGGAATCTGATTCTTTCTCTCTTTCTTTTCTGGTGATTTTCTTTTTTTCTATTGATTGAGAGCGTTGTGTGCTGTGTACAGATCGTGAAATAGGAAATTATTTGTATTTTGAGATTATGTGACCGTTGGGGTTGAGGGAGAAAAAATTGAAATTAGACGTTGGGAGGGAAAAGGGAAGCGCTCGTCTTGGCCGTTGGATGGGAAACGGCTCCTCATTGACGCTCCGATTTGATTTAAAGGGGTTAATTTTATTATATACTCTTCATGTCGGGGAGAAGAGGTTACTCTCCAAGAGTTAATGAGGTGGAATATTCGCCATTTATTTCATAAAATTTTAAATTAGTCATTAGAAATTTAAAATTAGATATATAGTTTGTTTAAAAATATGAAAAATTTAGCATAAGCTTTAAGAAATATAAAATAGCTATATTATTTGGAGTGGTGGGTATGAGTGGATGTCCAACCCAAAGGGAAGATAAAGATCTTTGAATATAAAGTCATTATGATTGGTCAAATCTCAGTATTACCAATATATCAACGAGTTGAGCAGCTATATAAGAAACTAAGACTCAATCTTGTTGATTAGAGTGGCATGGAGCTCAGACAACCGTTTAAACAATGGAGTTAAAGGGGAAGGTGTATGTAGTGGCTCGGTTTAAGCGAGGGGATAAAGGTGAATGCTCTATGAGAGTGCAAGGTGTAAATAGTGAATGGCCAAAAGGTCTATATACATGTGTGAATATATATGATTTGTAGCCTGTTGAATATTTCGATATGTCATGAATTGGGTGCTTAAATCGTTAACCCTGTTCCCACACCATGCATAATTGAGGTGGCAATTCGGGTCCATAGTCCTAACATGATACAATACGAATTCAACACATACATGAACGTACTCAATACGGATATGAAATCAAATTCAAATTTTTGACACAAACACGACCTACTTATTTTACGATTTGACATGATATGACACAAATAAACTGCAAACTCATAATATATAACTTATTATTCGGTTGACATGACACAATTTGACATTAATAACCTGTCAACCACAATTTGTATTATTTATTATGTGAATTGATATGACGATAAGACATAAATAATCTGTTTACGATACGACATAACACGAATAGTCTATAAAAAAATTAATGCGAGTTAATTTCGGATTCATAAATTGACACGCGAAACAACACGAATTAAAAAACAGATCAACTCAAATACAATTTTTTTGTATCATATCAACAAGTTATGTTGAAAATTACCATTTTGGATCCAACAGGAGTACCAACTCCTCTACCCCAAAAGGAAAAATAAGGGATATAGTTGAAAATAATCATATAGGTAAAGATAGTTTAAAAGTGTTACTTTTTACTATATTTAATAAATGATATAATAAGTGTTCGATACAAAGCGAATACCAAAAATATTTTCCTAGGAACAGCTTCATATCTGATAGTATCAACTATCCAAACACACACAAGAACAGAAATATACGTATGTATTTCAACGGCAATTTGAGAATGCCGGCAACTCCAGAAAAGAGATGAAGAAGGTTATCAGTTTGTTACAACTTAATTCGATAATCCCTACTGTACTCCTATCCCTGTATAATAAAGCAACAATTGTAATGGAAATACTCAGATTGGGCCTCTCAACTAAGCCCAACTTATTTAGCCTATTACTAATACTTATGCACGTGGGCCTTCCTTCACGCAGCCCATTATCAGGTAAGTCATCTTCAGCCACTTCTTTTAGTCAAATAGTCTTCCATCCATTGTGGTCTTTTCTTCAAACGTTGTCCTCTCTTTTGTCCTCTGTTTCCATCTTCCCCCATCTCTATTGTCGGTCTCTTCTTCTCCACCGCTTGTACTTGGTTCTCCACCGCTTGCACTTGGTTTGTATCAATTTCCCCACCCCTTAAAGCCACGATCTTGTCCTCAAGATCGAAGCTTGGAAAAGCTTGGCAAAGTTCAGAATAAGACACCCAGGTCGCGTCCTCCAAAGGGAGCCCTTCCCATTGGATCAAAAGCTGTAAAGTTTCCTCTTTTCCCAACTGCAAAGCCTTAGTGCGAAGGATAGCTACGGGTCGTGTGATCGGGTGGTTGTCCCAACTCACCGGTGGTAGTGGAACGGCATGAAAGGTGGGATTTTGGCGGTACGGTTTCAGCAGCGACACGTGAAATACAGGGTGGATGCGGGATTGTTCAGGTAACTGCAATCGGTAAGCCACCGGACCCAGGCGTTCGATCACCGGAAAGGGGCCATAGAAGCGGCGGCGGAGTTTCGAGAAAGTCTGGTTGCGCAAGGAGTTTTGGCGGTACGGTTGTAGCTTCACAAGAACCTGATCCCCCACCGTGAACTGGACCTCCCGGCGTTTCTTGTGGGCTTGAGCCTTCATACGCTGGCTGGTGCGGTGTAAATTCTCACGCAGCTGACGGATGATGGCATCGCGGCGGTTGAGCAGGGCATCAACAGCTTCCACGGTTGTGGAGTCGCCTTCATATGGCTGGATTCCAGGGGGTAGGCGTCCATAAACGGCCTGAAATGGAGATGTCCCAATGGAGGAGTGATATGCCGAATTGTAAGAGAACTCAGCCCATGGTAAGTATCTAGTCCATTCCTTGGGTGATTCCATAGCATAGCAGCGCAAATACTGTTCTAACCCTCTGTTCGTCACCTCAGTTTGGCCGTCTGTCTCCGGGTGATTGGCTGTGCTGTAACATAACTTGGTTCCACTTAATCGAACCAACTCAGCCCAGAACTTGCTTACAAAGATGCGGTCCCTGTCAGAGATGATAGAACGTGGAATGCCATGTAATCGACAGATGCGGTCGACGAAAGCTGTGGCTACCTTCGTGGCTGTGAAATTCGGAGGTAGTGGTACAAAGTGGCTGTATTTGGACAACCGGTCAACCACCACCATGATCACAGTTTTTTCCTCCGACATTGGAAGTCCTACTATGAAGTCCATAGACAATTCCTCCCAAATAGCTTGGGGAACAGGGAGCGGTTGAAGCAAACCAGCTGGTGATAAAGGCTGGTACTTTGTGACTTGGCAAACAGGACAAGTCCTTACAAACTCCTGGATATCCTGTTTCATCTTTGGCCAGTAGTACATAGGTAATACGCGGTGTAAAGTCTTCCTCACTCCTCCATGCCCTCCCATGAGCGATGAGTGAAATTCATGCAGTATTGCAATGCGTAGATCAGAATCAGAAGCTATTACAATACGACCTTTAAAACATACCAGGCACTCTCTATAACTGTAATGCTCATAACCACCCCGTGCTCAATATTTTCTTTTAACTGGATGAGTTCTTTTTTTGTTTGAACTTCTTCCTTAATTTGACTCAGAAGGTTGCTATTGACCTTAGTGATGAGCATGGCTGTGCTGGCTGTTCCTTCTAGTTGAGTTACCTCTTCAGGCCTCCTTGAGAGAGCATCGGCTACCTTGTTCCCGGCTCCAGGAACATACTCTATGGTATAGTCGAAGCCCAGTAATTTAACCAGGAAACGTTGCTGCTCAGGCGTTTGTATCACCTGTCCCATCATCTCCCGGAGGCTCTTCTGGTCAGTCCTGATGACAAAAGGACCCCCCCAACAAGTACTGCCTCCACTTGGCTACACCTTCTGTGATGGCGAACATCTCGCGCACATACGTCGAGGCTTGCTGCATCTTCGGGTTAAGCTTCTTGCTGAAATAAGCGATTGGCTTATTATCCTGGCTCAACACTGCTCCAATGCCTACACCAGACGCATCAGTAGTCACTACAAAGGTCTTATTGAAGTCTGGGAGTGCCAGAATTGGTGGGTTGGATAGTCTGTACTTCAGTTCTACCATTGCCTTCTCAGCCTCATCGTTCCAGCCAAAAGCATCCTTGTGTAGAAGGGCTGTCAATGGAGCTGCAATATGTGAGAAACCGCGGACGAATTTACGGTAGTAACCAGCAAGTCCAAGGAATCCGCGAAGTTGCTTAATGGTTGCAGGTCTGTTCCACTCTTTGATGGCCTGAATCTTCCCTGCATCTGGCCGTACCCCTTGGGCATCTACAATGTGCCCGAGGTAGTCTACTTCTCCCTGAGCAAATGCACACTTCGACCGTTTGGCATAAAGATGATGTTGCCTTAAACATTCCAGTACCTGCCGAAGATGGCCCACATGCTCTTCCATCGATTTACTGTAAACCACTATATCATCAAAGAAGACGATGACAAATTTGCGCAAAAATTCTTGCAAAACAGAATTCATGATACCCTGGAACGTTGCAGGAGCGTTAGTCAGTCCAAAAGGCATGACAACAAATTCATAGTGACCGTGGTGAGTCCGAAAAGCGGTCTTGTAAATGTCTGAGGGAGCCATCCGGATTTGGTGATAACCGGAGCACAAGTCCATCTTGGAAAAAATCAAGGATCCGGCTAACTCATCTAGCATTTCATCAACGGTGGGAATTGGAAAACGGTTGGGAATGGTCACTTGATTTAATGCTCGGTAATCGACACAAAATCTCCAAGTGCCGTCTTTTTTCTTCACCAACAAAACTGGGGAGGAGAACGGGCTCAAGCTAGGCCTAATGACCCCTGTGTGTAACATCTCTTGCACCATCTTCTCAATTTCTACTTTTTGAAAGTGTGGATACCGATATGGTCTCACGTTTACTGCTTTGGCTCCAGGTACCAGATGGATCTTATGGTCTTCCATTCGGACAGGTGGAAGGTGTTGTGGAGTCTCAAATACATCTGTGAACTCGTGTAGCACATCTTGTATCAAGGGGTGAGGAGGCTTCTCCCTTTCGTCTTCATGGAACCCGTCACTGCTGATAGCTTGCAATTGATAGCAAGTGGCAACAACATCTGAATTAGTCAGCTTACGCAATTGATGCAACTCAATTGATTCAACCTTCATCTTTGGTTCTCCTTGGA